TACACTTAATCCATAACCCAAACAGGGCCTTATCGGTAGTTTTGTTTTTGCGCGTTTTCGTTCTTTTAAGAAGTCCGATGTAAAAAGGCATGAAAGGTACCGTTTAAAAGATGTGTCTCTAAACCTCGAACCACTGTCAACCAAATCATTTTTAGGACGTCGATGGGTTCTGGAAATAATACTCCCGCTCAGCGGACCAGTCAAATCGCTCGAGGGGTAGCGAGTGCGGGATAACGTTCACCCCGGATGTTGTTTGGTTCGATTTGCGAGTTTGAGGACGTGGTAAAGTTAATAAAATTGGTGATATGTCGTAGAAGCAGGCATGATTTGTAGGGAAATGTATATTTGAGAGGAACGTGTGTATAGCTCTGAATGTCACCGAATTCTTAGTGTAAAGTTTGGCCTGAAATCGAAATGTGTCGATCTCTGCACGATAAGTCAAGATGGCTGCCGCTGCTCCTTTACTCTCTCTATATGTGTGTAGATCTATGGTCTTTGTTTTACCTACATAGCGATAACGGGTTCCTGTGATGTTATCGTATCCCAAATGCGTAGATAGATGCTCATAATGTCAATTACTGGAGTGTGGTCTAGACACTATTATTTATAGGCCGACGTCATATAGCTGGATACTGACGGTGTTAAACAACAAGCAACTTCGATTCATTTAACGTTTAATATCCATCTGCCAGTGTCCAACCATCACCATATTAATTGGCTCATTACAGCATCTATATTGCGGTATATTCTCATAAAGCCTATACTTTAAATACCTTGCGCAGATGTATTGAAACAGACGAAGTTGCAACAATTGGTAGGAGACTATCCTTGGATCAAACATTTCGTAAATAATTCTGAAGAGCCAGTAGTCAGAGCTTCGGCTCTAATCCACACATCGATATTATCAAAAAGTGAATATTTCTTTTTTATAAATATTAACTTCCAATGGAATTCGGCTATCCAAGCAGCTGCCATAAAACATTCGGTTATATTACTGTGAACTATAGCATGCATATGGTTTAAGATAACTTACATTTTGATTTCATTAATGTCAAACACCTGTCATAACAAGAAGTAATGTAATGTATTGTATGTTTATTGTCATTTTGTATTCACTTGCTGTGGGCACTGGTAAGCAAAGATGGCAAAATTCCAGCATACACACCCATATATTCAAATGCATCTTTTCCCAGTTTATTAAAAAGTATCTGTAATATATGTGTTTTGGGGTAATAGCTCAATAAGGCCTTGCTATTGAAAATTATACATATATTTGTAGAGTCAGGAAGCATTCTGAAACAGCAGTTCAATTAAACAACCCAGAGAATGATCGGCCTGGAATATATAATCTGTCGGATTCCAAATGGCGAACAAAGACACAACAATGGTGACAAATACAAGAATTAGCTTACTGATCATTCAAAATCTGCGATGACATAATATATTCAATTATGTTCTCGAAAAGGGTTGACCTACGCTATTCTCCACCCAACAACATTTGTGGATTCGGCGACCAATCACCAATCTCAAAACAGGCAACCAAATGGATTATACAGTTTTAAGTTAAAAATGTATCCCTCAATCATTAGTAAGTTGCAGCAAAATCATTATTTGGAGAGGGGGTTGTTCTAATGATTGCTTTCATGTCATGGTTGTTTTGTGAAAAGCAGAAAGTCGCGTGTTAGAACGGACGTCGAAAGAGATATGTACATTTGCTGATAGTTTCGTGCGGATGTTTCCAATCAGTTCGCTAGTAAAGCCAGAAAATCTATCACGAGAGACAGAACACGTTACGCTGAAATTAAAACAGTTAAGAAGAGTGGTAGAGGGATGGGTATCTGATTAGTGATGTCCGGTATTTTTGTCCGACTACGACAAATATGAGTTCATGGCTTGATGGAGCTTATAACCAATTAAAACGATGTTTTGGGACATGTGATCAATGTCAGGTCAGACTCGAACCCTTTAATAACGTATCATTAACACGAGTAGGGTGGTTCGAGCTTTCCACTTGACCGAGGCGAATCGCTGTCCGTCGTTTTCCTGTGCTGTGACGAGCCATTGGAGCCACTGACGCTGTGGTGAGGACAGATAGACAGAAGCACAGTAAACATGTGAGTATATACACATGGAGATTGCTTTCATTTCTTGATGAATGTACGAATCAGATTTTCATTTCTTAATGAATGTACCAACCAGATTTGCATTTCTAAATGAATGTACGAACCGCCTCCGTGGTGTAGTGGTTAGAGCGTCCTCCTGGAGAGCGGAAGGTCGCGGGTTCGATCCCTGGCCGCGTCATACCAAAAGACGTTAAAATATGGTACTTGTTGGGCCCTGCTTCGCGCTCGGCATTAATGGGTACATCAAGGACTGATCGGCTTGGAGTCAGTATAATGTGTCTGAGTGGGGTATTCATGCCTAACTGTGGCATGGTATCTCAGTGGGCTAGCACTATAAAACCAGCTTAAGTCTGGACTAGTACAAACAGCCACATATTCTTAAGTAGGACGTTAAATCCCATTTCACCTCACCTCACCTCACCTCACCTACAGTCCGTTTGAGACAAAATGATACCGATGAATTGCAATATAACACAAAAACGAATAGACATAAAAGAATCAAACCAACGCGGACTGCAATAAAAACAGCAGGCCAACTCTAGAAAGAAATTGCATAATTTGTCACAAAAATTTAAAAAGTTGTTTAAGAAATTGTCATCATTTATTTGTGCGTTTTCCCAGTTTGTTACAAGGGCGCATTGGCAACTAAAGGAACAGCGTGAAAAGCGAGATGCACGTGTATTAGTGACGTCAGAGACATGTGATTACTGCTGATTGACAAAGTGAGAGAAAATGAAAGTCTATAATTTACAAAGTCTATGATTTCTTCAAGGATGAAAATGACAGGGGGTGACCCAAGTATGCAATAACAGCGCACTGCCTGTGCAGCTGGGGTACGTGTCATCTCGCCAGCTCAAAAATTTGTTGAGAACCCGTTAACGCACGTGCATCTCGCTTTTCCTTTAGTTGCCAATGCGCCCTTGTAACAAACTGGGAAAACGCACATATAAATGATGACAGTTTCTTAAACAACTGTTTTATTTTTGTGACACAAATTATGCAATTTGTTTCTAGAGTTGGTCTGTTGTTTTTATTGCAGTCCGCGTTGGTTTGATTCGTTTATGTCTATTCGTTTTTGTGTTAGATTGCAATTCATCGGTATCATTTTGTCTCAAACGGACTGTAATGAATGTACGCTCGTACATGAACGTGATCTTGATAGGAGCGATGCTGCACAGCTACAATATTGAGCACACGTTATTGATATCAGCTTCATAAAGTTTGTTCAATATTGTACGTCCAAACTTCTAAAATGCCACTGAAACATATTACCTGTACGGACTAGCCGAGTATCGATTCATAGCACATATACACCGTGGCAACGTACAGGATGCAGGATATCTGTTACCAGCATAGCATAATGCGTTTATACACTATGATATTTTATAATTATTACTTTACAGACGTTTGACATGGCAGGACAGAGGCCCTTCCCAGAGACAATGAAGGTCGGTGGTTACATGGCTACGTCACAGTAAGACTTCAAAGGATGTTATTTGTTGTTGCCCTGCCTGACGCTGAGAATTAAGAGATTAAATCAACAACCGGTCGGCTCGGAGGCAGTGCCGTGTAGCCTCCTTTATCTACTATATTGTACACGTATCTGGCACAAATCCGGGACACGTCCGGTTTATCACAAACCAACACACACGCATGCACGCACGCACGCACGCACGCACGCACGCGCGCGCACACACGTGCAGCTTCACAAGTGCAATACCTTCGATCGCACTTCAAACCCAATTTAACCTGACCTGGAAATCAGTGCAAGGAGCATCAACATATTGCATGTTGTTTAAATGCATTTTATAAATTCAACATGTAATATATCATCCCAACCGTAACCCATTTGAATTAAATGCCAGCATTCAAATGATTTATGAGCATTTGTGCAATACGTCTGTCGGATTGGTTACTTTCCATCAATGTAGTCGTGTCGCTTTCTATATGAATAAAACCAGCTGATAAAGAATTCTAATATGAATATCCGTCCACAAATAATAGAAGACAAACTGACGAGTCTGACACAAGTCATTGTTATCCTGTAGTGAATAGAGAAACCTATATTACAGATTGGTAACAATGTGTGTAAAGATAATGCAATGATATTAACATTTTGACCACCTGCAGACCTAACTGTTTATGAACAAATCGCATCCATCATCGATACTGATGGTGAATAATCAATGTTATTGTATCAATGCAATACCAAAGCAGTGTAGTCACAAGTAGTCACAATGCAAAATGTCCTGTGATAATTAGGCACCAATTAGCTACAGAATGTATTCGGTCGGCTCAAACAGTGTAATTACGGCTTTGATAATACTACCGTCATTACAAGTGCTCGCCGATGTATGTCAGGGCGGAATGTTTTCATAAGTAGGCAAAGTCCCAGTGTGACGACTTTGTCTGAAGAAGCAGCATGTTCTTTGTGGATGGCACTTGAGATACTGTGCACTAGCGGAATGTCTACAGACAACGACCTCTGATGAATCGTGTGGACAATGAGAATCCTGTTAGGATGCCTAATCCTTTCCTGTTGCTGGTCTCCCGTCGACGGTAAATATACAGGATTAGCAATGAGATCTCGATGCATACACCACTTACAACATATGTTTTCTATTTTCATACAGTCGTGATACCTCATAATTCTTTCCTGTTGCTGGTCTCCCGTCGATGGTAAATATACAGGATTAACAATGAGATATCGATGCATACATCACTTACACCGTTTGTTTTCTATTTTCATACAGTCGCGATACCGTATAATCCTTTCTTGCTGCTGCTGGTCCCGTCGACGGTAAATATACAGGCTTAACAAAGAGATCTCAATGCATACACCACTTACACCATATGTTTTCTATTTTCAGGCAGTCGCGATACCGTATAATCCTTTCTTGTTGCTGGTCTCCCGTCGACGGTAAATATATAGGATTAACAAAGAGATCTCGATGCATACATCACTAACACCATATGTTTTCTATTTTCATACAACCGCGACTCCGAGTCAGACTTAATGTATATTCCACTCCAGTTCAAAAGCGTATAGATGCACATGTAATTATTCCTCACTTAACGTTTACAAATACATTCAGCATTCAGCCAGTACAAACATATCAGGGCCAAGAACCTTCCATAAAGTTCACAGATGTAGGAATGAACATTAATCCGACGAGATCGTCATAATTATCGGTGTCTTTTCTTCTGAACACGCATGAGTGGTATATATCTGTTATAAATATGATATGTAATTGTAGTAGATCTGAGGCCCGGCGGAGAAGCAGCAGCCGGTGAGGCTGTTTCAGTGTAACATGTGGCTATCAGTACTGCCATTTTCCTCACACAAGAGATGAGGCGTCATGATTCTCTGTTGGTTGTCTCTGTTGATGTTTACTAGCCTGCCATCCACACGTATGTCCATCTTAATATTTTCTACCTGTTGCTTTCATGTTTAGGAATAAGTAATCTATTACCTGTATGTATAATTACAGTAGCACTTTGTAGCAGACAGTAAATCAATTTAAATAGAATATGGCTGAACCATCTGTACTGACATAGCTGTCTGTAGGTTATTCGTATATGTACTCATTGAGTGGCTTCCTCTATTTTCTGTGCACACCTGGGATCAATATTGTCAAAACTGCTGTTTTTGCATCTTCATTTAGAAAATGTGTATTGTGTTTTGTATTCAAAAAAGGATGGACAGGGGTAAGTATATTCACGTAGGAATATCTGGGTTATCTGGGACACTCATTGTTGTCTTCTAATCCCATCACGGAGCATTATCATGTGAGAGTTTGAAACATGCGAATGCGCATAGTTCATATTTCAGTCGTTAATCTATTAGTTGCAAAAACATTTTTAGTATCCATCATATTTATTTCTTCATTAATTTACCATGTACTTATTCATTTATTTATTTACTTGTATAACACAATGACACATATATGTATTAGATCGGCATCCATTTATTTGTTTAACATAATGTCCTGCTTATGTTCGCTGCGACCCACTTTCGTTGTAAACTGGTATAAAAATAGGAATGCATCTATACCACTGTAGACATGTAGATACAAACTATAAATGTGATCTTTTGTTATGGTCAATGAGTCGATGTTTGTGCATTAACATGTTTTAATAATTCCAGTGACATATGATATTGATTTATTTCATCGTACAATTGCAGGCGCAGCTTGTGCCAGCCTGGAATCAGGTCAGTGTCATTCGTCTGTACATAATGGAAGACTGGGGACATTTGTCGATAGAGAAAGAAGGAGCCTACCTTTACACTGTATGACCTCGTTTGTGCGAGAGTATTCACGACGGGGGAGCGTAAAATCGAAATTTAGTATGATTGTCAGTTGAGCGTACTTGTTGAACGAGTGAGTTTATGTGTAAAGTCACTGTAAAGTTTAAATCCAGAAAGATTGTTAGCTGATTGCCCATCACAATAAAGAAGTTGACATCCATTAAAGTTTGCCTTTGGTAGAGCGTAGTTGTTTAAAGTCTAAATCTAGATTGATTGTCAGTATATGGCCATCATTAAGTCCACATTTCAGCATAAGTCTATAACTAGTATTAAACCTAAATCAAGTTCGAATAACCCCCATGTCCATTAAAATGTTCATATGATGTATGCTAAAATCAGAATAAGTCTAGAAAGCGTGATAGTAGTGGTATATGGACAATGAAGTCTATAAACGGTATAAAGTCTATAAATGCTAATGATCGATAAGTATCAAGTCTTTGACCTGTACAGAGTTCATATAGTTATAATAGTCTATAACCGATATGAAGTCAAAAACGGAATAAAGTCTATGTTATGCTAATGGTCTATAACCAATATAAATTCCATAAAGGGCATAAAATATATCATGTATAAACAGTATCAAGTTTATTTAGGTATAATGTACAGAACCATGCAGTGTAAACTCTGTCACCAGTATAAAACTAGGAACAGTAAAGGCAAAACAGGAAATGTCTAAAACAATACCGGGTGAAACCTATGACCAGTATGAATTATATAAACCGAATAACGTAAGTTCATACCATGCTGATTTAAGTGCGAAAAAATATGTGGTCTAAAATCTGTAACCAGTTAAATGTCTGTCACCAGTATTCTCTATTCTAATTTGAAACTCAAAGCCGGTACGCAACATACCCAGTCTGGCATGAATCTATAAACAGTATCAAGTCTACATATTAGTATGCTCTCATTTATAAGCTCAATGTCAAATCGATCTTGTATAATCTAGTATTGTCGAGCAATATTCAACATTTCCCCTCTATATTTCCTAAATAAATGTTATACACACAATCGAACATGCGGTTTTTACGAATATATCAAAGAGCATCATCTTGCCTCTTGTCGTAATAATTTCAAGACGTCATCATAGAAGAATATTTAATCTCGATTATTCGCCGAACCTATTCCTCTGGGCATAAAAAGCAAATAGTTATGACAATTATATGAATGGACAACTGGAAATCTGGCATATGTTTGGAATTGTTTACAAGAGTAGACGTGCCTTGCTCGACCGGCATCACCCTCCAGCTATTTTCACACAAAGTAAGTGTGTGTTTGGTGCCTAAAGGAGCACCTTGGGGTCCTCCTTGAATGTGTCTGATGTACGCAAACAATCAAGTATGGACAATACAGCCACGTGCCTACGTCTATGTGGTACAGCATGTCAACCAACACCAGTTAGTAAAACTGTATGGTACAGAGCTGATCATCATATTCATAGGTTTTCAAGCATTGTGTTGTGGACATGTGGATGACATATTTCAGCTTGACGTGTCAAATTATTTCTGTTGCAATTCTGTTTTTACATGTGCCATATGTTCTCGTACGCTTGACTAGCCTTGGCAAGCGAGTGTGACTGGTGACACAACGGCATAGAACACATTCACCATTCGAACATTACTTGAGATATAGTGACGTTACACATTTGTTTGGATGTTTAATATGAGCCAGAAGCGTGACAATGACTACTAAGACAAATTAATGTTATATCCTTTTTCGATCGTACAATAAACTCATTCTCGCATGTTTGTAATTTGCTTTAGTTTCAGTCGTTTATGCATGTAATGACTAGATCGCTGCGGGCTGTGTTGTGTTTCTACACATTTCTCTGACGTAGGCCATGACAGGCTAATACTGGTCATAGAGTGACGTTACATATTTGGTTGGATGTAAGCCAGAAGCATGACAAGACTGGAACAAATTAATGTTTTATCCTTTTTCACAATTCAATAATATTACTGCCGCATGTTTGTAATTTGGTTTTTCAGTCGTTCATGCATTTAACGACTAGATCGCTGCTGGCAGTGTTCCAAGACACTTCTCTGACGTAAGCCATCCCAGGCTAATTATATAATCATAGACTGACGTTACATATGTGTTTGGATGTTTAATATAAACCAGAAGCATGACAAGACTGGAACAAATTAATATTTTATCCTTTTTTCATCCTTCATTTATATTGTTCTTGGGAGGCATATAGAAGTTGGTATTCAAGTAAGACAAAATATTATAGATGTCAACTTCTTCTTTGTTAATCTCCATTAGATTTTGTCTTATACTTCAATAATATTATTATCGCATGTTTGTAATTTCATTTTTCAGTAGTTCATGTATGTTCCGACGAGACCGCTGCGGGCAGTGTTGTGTTCCTGGACACGTCTCTGACGTACGCCATGACTGGCTCTTGCAGGTGTATCTTGGATGGCAGGCCTGTGCCCATGGGTATAAACATCTCAGTGGAGAGTATTGCCGAACAATGTGAAAGTGTGTTGAACTTCCCATCCATAAACTATGACGTCACATGTGGACAAGTTCCTGGTTCGGTTGTGACTAACCTAACGGGAAATATGAACATAACATGGACTAAACGGAATGCGTTTAAAAGCACGGATACTTGTATCAGGATAGCAAAAAGTCAACAAAGCACAGGTGAGTTTTAATTTATTCAGGTTATGTGTAATTTCAGAAAATCCAGAGTCCTTAGATTGCATGGGATGAGGTAGTTTAAAAGTGAAACATTTTGTAAGTAGGAGATGAAGTTAAATGGGGTTCATTGTCGAGTTCAAGATCACTGCACTCATTTTTAACACAGTTACGTACACTTCTTGTGTGTGCGCGTGTGTGTATCTGCTTGTGCTCGTCCTGTCTAATAGTCCTTGAGACAGAACTTGAACATATGGAGTTGACTACCAAATTGAGAGACAAACAGCGGTATTGTATTGTTACACCACTGCGAAAACGTGCCTCAGTTTTAAAGTGAATACCTCACTCAAACACAGTGAATTGCCTTCGGGCGGAGCAGTTCTCGTTTCATCCCATCATTTCGAGCACAAGGCAGGGTAATAACAAGTATTACATTTGAACGTCTGCTAAAACGCAGTTGGTGATCGACCCACCATTCACCAGCCAGACATTCTGTCCACTACACCATGAAAGCCCACCAATAAGAATGAAACAGATCTAAAGTTCTGAAGTGAGTGAGTGAGTTTTGCGTTTACGCTACTTTTAGCAATATTTCAAGAATATCACAGCTGGGAACATCAGAAATGGGCCTCACACACTGTACCCATGTGGAGAATCGAACCAGGGTGTTCGGCGTGAAGAGCGAACGCTTTAATCACTAGGCTACCTCACCGTCCCTTCTGAAATCACCTCTATAGTGCATAAAATGCAATACTTCTCCATCATGGAAAGAATATAAAAACTACCAGAACTAAATGACTGTCCCGTACATCAAAATAGGACGATAGACGGTTAAAATATGTGACCCTGACCTGGCTATGTGTCATGGTATTCGATGTAGTTAGTCGTTCGATGTAGCCAACTATATTGCTTTCTAGCTGCATGCACAATGATTCATGGGCTGGCGTGTTACAGCTGGGATATAACTGACAAAAGGTGGGGGAAAGCAAGATTGAGTAACTCCCAATAGTCCCGTAATACAGGGGCGATAGGGTAGCGTAGTGGTTAAAGCGCCCGCTCGTAAGGCCGAAGATCCGGGTTGAATTTCCCCACATGGATACAATGTCTGAAACCCATTTCTGGTTTCCTCCGCCTTGATATTGCTGGAATATTGCTTAAAGCGGCGTAAAACCATACTTACTCACTCAGTCACTCCGTTACAACATAGTGTCAAACCTATGAGTCCTACCTTATCTCCAAACTACATTGGTGCTTTTAGCTCCCTCCACGTAGATCTATCGGAACATAACCTTTCATTGTTTAAGTGAAATGGAAAGCCCAACAATGTAATAAACTCAATATGCAGATTTGATTAATACTTTTCGATGTTCAGCTAATTCAGATTTATGGTCAAGGCCCTTGACAAAACATGGCACTGCAATTAAGTAATCCACGCAATTGAATGAATCAATGTGGTTTGATTGAACTTTTAGCAACTTAACACGAATATCACGACTCGGGACACCAGAAATGGACTTCACGCATTGAACCTACAAAAGGAATGGAACCTGTGTCTTCAGCGTGACGAACTAACGCTTTACCACTAGACATCTCACCGCCCCATATGACAGTGCATTATTATATTAATAACAAGCGAATACTATTAGCCCTGATTATTTTCTAATATAACTTGAAAACTACCATGCCTTTTTATCTGTAACAGAGTCAACGTTATTTTTTTTCATTCGGTTGTAATGCTTTCAGCGGGTAACCTCAGCCTTCAGTGCGAGAAAGGTGGTGATTTTAAGAAGACCACAGGTATGTTCTATGCTCTATTGATACACACTACTTTATTATACGAGTCCTTTCACATCGATACTGACCTGGTAACCCTGGTAACATGTGTGGAGCCTTATAGACATACATAACAATAGATGGACACGAAGCAATATTCAGCCCGCGGATTACTATTGAGTGAGTGAGTGAGTGAGTTGGGTTTAACGCCGCTTTAAGCAATATTCCATCAATATCACGGCGGGGGACACCATAAATGGGCTTCACACATTGTGCCCATGTGGGGTTTCGAACCCGGAATAACTACTGAAGTCCGTGTATCGTGTATTATTCTTTCATCAATATGTCTACATGAAACACATACATATGTTACAGTCAATGTGTAAAATCAGGCAGTTTCTAAATTGCCTGAAATTTTCAGGCAATTTGAAAATGTTCTCATTCCCTCTGTCAATGTGTACATTGCCTTAAGTTTGCAGTTTAATTTAGTCGATCTATTTGACAGATTGACTGTTTCAATGTGTATTATCATTATTAGTGTGTAAAATCCTAAGAAAAACCTAAGAGTGAGTGAGGAGTGAGTGAGTTGAGTTTTACGCCGCACTCAGCAATAATCCAGCTATATGGCGGCGGTCTGTAAATAATCGAGTCTGGACTAGACAATCCAGTGATCAACAGCATGAACATCGATGTGCGCAATTGGGAACCGATGACATGTGTCAACCAAGTCAGCGAGCCTGACCACCCGATCCCGTTAGTCGCCTTTTACGACAAGCATAGTCGTCTTTTATGACAAGAATGGGTTGCTGAAGACCTATTCTACCCCGGATCTTCACGGGTCAAAAACCTAAGACACAGACACTCATGAGACATCTTTTTTGACATATAACAATATTTCAAAATATAAAAAAAAAAAAAAGCATTGGGTGACATTGTTTGCTCAGGTTTTGTCTGCTCAAGTGAAGGTTTCGTGGGACATGTTGTTGCATTTGACTCCAGCTTTAAAGCACTTGCATCTGTTGGTTGCACACTGCTTGCCACTCTTAGAATAGTTGCTCTATATATATGAGAGTCATGATCAGTGTGTTTGCATATACCAGGTGACAGCCCTCTCAAATCGCACTTCACTACTACCAAACCAGAAGAGACTCATCAAACCACTATCTCGCCTCAGACAGCTGCTGCCATTCGAAAACGATTTGGTAACTGTGTTGCATTTTCTATTATTTTTTAGATGAACCTATTGTTTTACACCCTCATGGATCTTTTTAATGTACATCCTCATTTAATTATTGACTTTTTAAAAGAAATTGAATTAATTGATAAATTTTGAAATGTGTTGTAATTAGTCAGTGATTTTAATTTGGTAGAATGAATAAATAACTATTATTGTCAGTGGCTGTACCTTCAAGGAGGGCTGAAGTAGCATAAAATAATTGTCCCCCTGAGAGGGTACGTAAGTCCCTTTTCATTCAAAGTATTTTTCTTTCTCTGAATTTTAATAGTAGCATATTTGTTCGCTTAACGTATAGCTATTTTGCTAAACAATTGCCACCACCTGAAAGTATGATGTAAATCCAGCTAGGGTCCATGCAGGACTGTAAGACTCTAAGTCTCCATGGTCTCGGGCTCAGGAACTCAGGGAACATAAACAAACATCGAGGGTACATCAACCCATGACCCCTCGTGACCAGTGAACAACTTATATTGTATTGTTCAATTTGATAATACCGTTTTATAATAGCATGCTAGTTTTTACTTAATATCTCTGATATACTAGTAGTTTTACTGTTCTTCGACAACAGACTTAATTTCTAATTGTATAATAACACGATATGGCTGAAATATTGCAGATGTGACGATAAATATTAACTCACTCACTCACTACTGTTTTCCATTCTTAGATGTAACATACGGATTTCCACTAAAAAATGATTAAAACATATCTTGTTTATCTCTGTCAATACACATTTAAACCTACACTTTTTCTTGCCTATGTAGAAGTAAATACTATCACGTTTTTTAACACGGACTCGTTTTCTTGAGCATTCATTCTGTGTAGTGATGCGGTTGGAAAAGGTTCGTTGATCCAATTTTCACATTACCCAACCAGATTAGATCACAATTCTGTGTCATGGTCGATATTCATCAATCAGACATATAAAGATTTAGATATTCAGTGTAGCATCATCCTGCTTTGGTAAACAGGAAATTGATCCCTGAAAAGAACCTTCTACAAGTGTAGAAATGAACATTTCCGGGTTGATGGTTATAGAGTAATGTCCCTTTACTTGGCTTTGGGAAGACGCCAATAGCAATCGTCCATGGTATCGACGTTTCACTACAATTCAAATCTACATGAGAAAACAATACTAGTAACTGTATTTACCTGTGAGTAGTTTATAGTAACCCCAAATAATTTGACTTATAGTACAGAAACATCGATCGTATTGTAAATATAGGAAACACTATCAAATGATATTTTTACATTATTTCAATGTGTCATGATTATACATGTTTTCATTTTCCTTTGTCCTCGATACGTCATTGTAATACTATTGATTTATGGTTGATTATTTTCATTTTTTCTGTATTTCAGTGAGTAATATAACGGTTGGAATCCTGTCTGGCATTATAATCACACTTTTCCTCATCGGTCTCGTAGTTCATTTCAGGTGAGACACATGTTCATATAGCTGTACACCGACAGTATGTATACTTATGGGGAGTTATCAGCATGGTTCATGCTAGTGGAGAGAATGGGTGCAGCAGTGGCCAATTAGGTGTTTGCGTCCCCATTCATAAACTTGAAACCAAGGATCTGGGCCCTTATCCCAAAGTCTCATTGGTGTTTCAAGCTGTATTAACAAGGTAGTAAGACTCACATCACATCAAGCTTCATTTAACTATAGTAAGTATGTTCTCAAAACCAAGTGAAATTATTTGTTTGCTTAACGACGCACCCAGCAATATTCGAGCTGTATTGCGGTGGTCTCTAAATAATCGGACCAGGCAATCCAGTGATCAACATCATGAACATTAATCAACGCAGTTGGGATAAGATGACTGTGTCAAACAAGTCAGTGAACCTGATATCTTACGATAAGGAAGAGCTGCTAAAGGTTGTTGTTTTTTCAAACAAAACAATCCCGGCTAGGAAGAAACACTAACAATTGTGCGATGCAAGATGATTGTCAAAATTAATGATCCTATGCGTTGTGTTTCGGGGTGGTGATAAAGAGAAATGGTGGTGCGTTCATAAGATGTTTGCCTTCGAATAGTTTGTTAACGCTTATAATTCCTATCCAAATTGAATGTTCCCCTACTTTTTTCAAGAGTATACAAACTCTCTCTCACTCACTCACTCCCCCCCTCTCTCTCTCTCTCACACACACACACACACACACGTCCGCACGGACGCATGCACACATATATACACATACATATATGTGTATATAAGTATACGTGCCCCTATTTCAGTGACAAGAGGCTGAAGGAGAGACTTTTGAGGGAGGAGGAGGAAGCAAGACTGAGGAGGATGGCCAAAATGAACGCCATACACCGACTGTACCCACCCCGGAGGAGAGAGGTCGTAGAGACCACAATATAGACAGTCCTTCCTCAAGAAAATGTGATATATAACCGTATGAAACTAATCCATATAAACTCCATAACCTGTTCCTCTACAATATGTTATATCTAGCAGGACCGAATGATTTTGTTCCTCTGGTCAATGTTATATTGCACCTCTACAAACTGTGATCAAATTACACGTTGCAAGTTCACGCTGATGATTTCAAATGAAATGTATGTATGTGTGTTATCAACGTCAAACAGTAAAAGCTTGTATATAGTTACTGACGTAAATGTATAATGGTTGTTTTACGTTCACAATGATCTGTATCCGTCATATTGCCGCTTGCAGTGTTGTGCTACTGAAGCATGGATGTTTATTGTATCATATTGCATTATCTTTATGAAAATGACTTGAATTCCTCTATCTCCCTATGATGAACCTTGTAAGTATCTTCTTATAACCAGGAATATACAGCGTGCTGTATTCATGTGAAGCGTCCATGTGCTTCCAAAAGAGACTGACCTTGACCCGTTGAAGTAACGCAAAGAGAAAACATTTTATTGAATAATACTAAAACGGATCTCTGTGTATTTGTGATAATTAATTCCACTGTTTGCACGATTATTTTCTACATTTATTATTGTCTCATTGAGAATTAAAATCAAACTATTTCATATTTTCATTGTTCGTGTTGTTGTACTATTGTGGCCTCATATAGAAATACTGAGATACAAGGCGACTATTTGACATTTGGGGGTTTTGAGTGAGTGAGTGAGTTTAGTTTTACGCCTCACTAAGCAATATTCCAGCTATATGGCGGCGGTCTGGACCAGACAAGCCAGTGATCAACAACATGAGCATCGATCTGCGTAATTGGGAACCGATGACATGTGTCAACCAATTCAGCGAGCTTGACCACGCGATCCCGTTAGTCGCCTCTTACGACAAGTATGGGTTACTGAAGATCAATATTCTACCCCGGATCTTCACGGGTTTGGGGGTATTGGACATACTACTTAAACATATGTAAGTCGTGAACGAGTTTCCATGATTGGCAAAGGACATTCCGAAGGTTACGAACAATTGCAATATTGCAACAATATGTTCATATTTGCAAGCACTTAAAAGTCAGAGAAAACGCAGTCACGAGTAAAACGGAAAATAGTAATGGATGTTGTATGAGTGGATCAAGAAATGACATTAATGACACCACATATTCGTGCAAAGGATACCATGTCCAGCTCAAACGGATGCTCCATAATTTTCAGTTTTGAGTCAGAAAGTAAGTGTCAATGGTTAAGGAAGGTCGTAACATTGGATTGCATACCTGTTATGTTCATTTCTCTGAACATTTTGAAATGACATAACCAGGCCCAGATAGCGAAACATTGAAATAATATTGATACAAGGCATATTGATACAAGGTATATTGATACAAGGTATATGCAGACACAAGCACTGTATTGTGTTATTGTCTGCATGTGAATTTATGTAACCTGATATGTAATATTTCATTTTATTGACTATTGACTGCAGTGTTAATGTCTAGCCAACACGCTGCGATATAACTGGCACAATGCTTAGGTGTTAAATCCAACTTACAAGCACGACTTTGACATAAACCACTCACAGGTAAAAAAATGATGCTATTGTTCCAATTCGGATACCATTGGAGCTTCTGTGTAATCTCACGAAACCGTATGACCACTATGGAAGCTACCGCTCGAGAAATTAGTGGAAGTGCTTATATTGTGCTTTGTATTTGATAAGGTAAGGGCTAACATACAAATCCTTGAAAAAAAAGAAGAAAATGATCAAGAAACGTATTTTTGCAAATGTATTTCATTGGTTACTGTACCATGCACGGTCATGGTATCTAAGGCAGCTGAAAATGTTCGGAGAGCGGAAGGTCTGTGGTTCTAACTCTGGTCGTGTTATGCCCTTATACTTGTTATTACTCTACCTCGCGCTAGCTCCTCGAAACCGACATAAGTTAAGGACGAACATAAATCCAAAAACACATTCACTCACTCACTCACTTACTCATTCACTATGGTACTCGCTATTTCACTGCTTAGCGCTAGCTCCTCGAAACCGACATAAGATAGGGCGAACAAACATCCAAAACCTCACTCACTCACTTCACTCACATACACACGCGCATTATTGCTAACTGGTTATTTAACTGGCAAATTTACTGGTAACATGCAGGTTTGAATTTACGAGACGAAACCTTGCAAAGACATTTTATCAACAATTTATAAATATACCATGTCTATGCAGGGAACGCGCAACAGCTGCAGGTGGTTAAGTATTGATTTAAGCTCCATTGTCACGCCGACGTGTAGTAATTTATACAGAAGTAATCCAGACATACAGTGTAGCACAAGTGATGTAATAGCAGCATGTTATCAGAAATGCCAGTGACTTCTTGCAGGTCGTGTCACACCTTTCGATCTTTATCATGATACATACATATATCTCATACAAGCATGATCTCCGTATGCTCATTATCACATAAATAATTGTGTATGTAAAGCCCACTTCTAGTGCCTCCCACCATGATATTGCTGGAATAATGTACAGCTATGCTCACTGATCTTCAATAAGATATGCAGCATGATCACAGGTGTAATACTGCTGAAACACACACTAGTATAAAGTTATGATATAGTCACAATAGTACAATCGACTCTGCTTTTAACAGAGATTTCTTATGGATGTGGAAAGGGTTTTGTCGCATCTATCTATGTGATGGATGTCAGTTGTACCACCGTCGTAACATTCTTTGGAGGTACCAGTTACTCTGATTAAATAGGAATGTTATCATTTGGCGTGAGAATTATTCGTGTATATGGGGGAAACCCAAAGTGATGAGGCCTTCATTTTACCTGTTTGGTGAAACCCAAGAAGGCGCGTATGGTTGGTGCTGAAACACCATGAGACTTATTTAAATAATTAACTTTATTTTGTACCAATTAAATAGTTTAATTGGCGTAGAATCATTTCATAATGCAATATAGCCGTGAAGGTCCGGGTTAGAATATTGATCTTCAGTAACCCATACCTGTCGTAAGAGGCGACTAACGGGATCGGTTGTCAGGCTCGCTGGTTTGGTTGACACATGTCATCGGTTCCCAATTGCGCACATCTATGCTCATGCTGTTGATCACTGGATTGTCTGGTCCAGACTCGATTATTTACAGACCGCCGCCATATAGCTGGAGTATTGCTTAGTGTGGCGTAAAACTAAACTCCCTCACTCACTCACAATGCAATAACTGAATCTGGCTTGAATAAAACATTACGCAACAAACCAGTGGTTGCAAGCACATACACCAAATGGAACATCGATTAAGACTTACGTAACAGCATTAACATGTCTATATGCATTGCGAAGCATACCTCAATTGCAAATCATTAAACTTTATAGTCTTGAAATGGTTATGAATTCTAAGTATTTGTGATCTCAGCTCATGGAATGTGCGAAACAGTGTCAATATATGAACACTTACACATGAGTCATGCAACGTTTTGGCGTCGTTAAACCAATCGGTGTCAATATACCAACGTTCGAGATTCTAATGCGTCAGACAATTGAGCTGGTTGGTTGGCTGTAAATATGGAAGATGGAAGCAGCCTAACATATTATTGAGTTTAATGCAATGTATGCACAAGAGGCCTGCACTTCCTTATTGCTCAGAGGACAAGTAATTCGTGAAGACTGAAGGCACTTTGACTTTCACTATGGTGCGACTTTTATGTTGCATGGCAAGTTTCCTAACAGTGTGTTTCTACACTGTAAAAGGTATGTATAGGTTAATCACCCTCACAAGGTAGTTATTTAAATAACTACCGTAGTGAGGGTGATCAAACGGCTTACACCTCGAGAGCATACTTACTCGTGTTTAATACGGGTGTAATGTATTAGGCATGATCAACATTATCAAAATAAGTACAATTTCATGGGTTTTCTTAAATAGAAATAATTGCCCTAGGGCACTTATTCAGTTATGCTAATAAAACACTTCCAAGAACAATGGACATAACTTTCCCTAGTGACTTAAGAGTACTTACACATCTTAATATTCAGTCTGAAGCTATTCTGAATGTTTCAACCAAATCAGTAAATTCTCTTTTGTGTCCTTGTATTTTTCTGGCCAATTCATCTTTTGATTATTGGGTTTGTTAACAAATGCTGTTTTGTTTGTCATAGGACATGGAGTGAATACGGTTTTACGCCGTAATGGGCAATTTTCCAGTAATATTACGGTGGTGGACATCAGTAATGGGCCTCACATATTATACCCATGTTGGGAATCGAACCCGGGTCTTCGGCGTGACGAGCTAACGCTTTAACCACAAGGCCACCCAGCCGCCCCCATAGGGCATGGAGTGAGCACGATATTATGCCGAAATGAGCAATATTCCAGTAATATTACGGTGGTTGACATCAGGAATGGGCTTGACACATTGTACCAGCGTGGAGAATCGAACCCGGGGCTTTGCCGTGGCGTGGGAAGGGTTTAACCAACTGAGCTACATCACTGCCCATATAGGGAATTGAGGGTACTTACAAGATGAAATAACTTTAACTGTTTGCTTGTTTTCTCCTCAAAAGGTCAAGCCTGTCCCGCGGGTACTGATGGTAAGGATTATTCTGGATTTTTCACAGAAGTGATTTATGAAACAATGCACCAGGCCCGTGGCATCACATTCACATATAGTGACTGAGCTTAGGTTTAGATGTTAGTCGTAGACACATACGAGTGAGTGAGTGAGTAACGGTTTACGCCGCTTTTAGCAATATTTCAGCAATATCACGGCAGGATACACCAGAAATGGGCGTCGCACAATTTACCCATTTGAGGAATCGAACCCGGGTCTTCAGCGTGACGAGCCGACGCTTTAACCATTAGGCTACCCCACCGGCTCCAGATTAGAAATCAGTGTCATCAGATCCGAGCAAGGAACAGAAACGCAACTCTTGGCGTCAAGCATATGCCTCTGAAATCATGCCTGCCTTTAATGTGACAATACTCAATATATGAGGATCGACATTTGTCATTTATTCCACTCCAGGGGCACTTTCTTTGAGGTTTTGTTACACACTCACTTTACCAGCCACTGAGTATAAGGTCCACTGTATTTGTTGCCATGTTGTAGCTTTAACGGTATCCTTTTGTTGTTACTGTGAGGGCACTTATACAACATGACAAGTCTGTCAAGCTGTTGCCATCGAATCCATAACCTATTGTTTAGATATGCATTAGCTCACAAAATATGCAACCTGTCATTGCCGATGTAAACATATTTTCTCCTTTTTTAAAGATATATATCATATCTACGGTTATAGCTATGTAACCCATAACAATTGATATTAAACAATATACCTAGCATAACACTACTTATGCATTTTATTAGCAAGGTATTGCGGCAAATATGTTAGCATAATGTACTATGTGAAAGGATTGCGATACAAACCGCCACTGCGAAAAGTAAGAGGTCATAATCTGATCTGTCACAATGATGACGACAATATATTCGAAATCAACAGAAACTGAGTTTAACAGTTCCTCTAAATTCATGCACAATAGTAATATCGATATGAGATAATATTTATAACAAATATTTCGTTTCAGTGGTGCATGTTTGTCAAGCTGGATCCAAACAAGGCCCATCAATACATGTGGATGGGTCCACGGCCAGGAACTTCCATGGACAATGCGTGTGTGAGGTGCATGCCGTTGGTGGGCCGGTTGTTGTCAAGTTGTCAGCTCCGGTGGTCCCATCTGCCGAGTGCGGCTCTCTGATATATTCTACAGAGATTGGCTTTACTGCTCATTGTGGTAATGCGGTTCAAACTGTGTCTGGCAGTATTGGGACTGAACAAAACGCTTACCTCACTATTGCAACGGAAACGGATAGCGCAAATCCTGATTATTGTGTGAAAGTGGAGAAAGAATCTAGAGGTAAGTTGCAAATGTTATTTGGTGATATATCATTAATATAACTGTTTACAGTACTGTGCTGATTGGTTGGCACTATTTTACTACATTCTGGTTCTAATTTACAGAGGGACAAGTTAAAGTCGCCTGCACGGAGATCCAGCATGCGGACCGGGCAAACAAAGCAACTAAACCTCCCACTACTACTAGTTCAGGAAGTGACACCACTTCTAGCACCGGAGTGGACACCACTTCCAGCTCCGGAGTGGACACTACTTCCAGTTCAGGAGTAGCCACTACTTCCAGTTCAGGAGCAGCCACCACTTCTAGTTCAAGAGAAGCAACCACTTCTAGTTCAGGAGAAGCCACCACTTCCAGTTCAGGAGCAGCCACCACTTCTAGTTCAAGAGAAGCAACCACTTCTAGTTCAGGAGTAGCCACCACTTCTAGTTCAGGAGAAGCCACCACTTCTAGTTCAGGAGAAGCCACCACTTCGAGTTCAGGAGCAGCCACCACTTTCAGCTCCGGAGTAGCCACTATTTCTAGTTCAGGAGCAGCCACCACTTCTAGTTCAGGAGCAGCCACCACATCCAGCTCCGGAGCAGCCACCACTTCTAGTTCAGGAGTAGCCACCACTTCTAGTTCAGGAGTAGCCACCACTTCTAGTTCAGGAGTAGCCACTACTCCCAGGTCAGGAGCAGCCACCACTGCTAGTTCAGGAGCAGCCACCACTTCTAGTTCAGGGGCAGCCACCACTTCCAGTTCAGGAGAAGCCACCACTTCCAGTTCAGGAGCAGCCACCACTTCTAGTTCAGGTGTAGCCACCACTTCTAGTTCAGGAGCAGCCACCACTTCCAGTTCAGGAGTAGCCACCACTTCTAGTTCAGGAGCAGCTACCACTTCCAGCTCCGGAGAAGCCACTACTTCCAGCTCAGGAGCAGCCACCACTTCCAGTTCAGGAGTAGCCACCACTTCTAGTTCAGGAGTAGCCACCACTTCTAGTTCAGGAGCAGCCACCACTACTAGTTCAGGAGCAGCCACCACTTCTAGTTCAGGGGCAGCCACCACTTCCAGTTCAGGAGAAGCCACCACTTCTAGTTCAGGAGTAGCCACCACTTCTAGCTCAGGAGCAGCCACCACTTCTAGTTCAGGAGCAGCCACCACTTCTAGTTCAGGAGTAGCAACCACTTCTAGTTCAGGAGCAGCAACCACTTCCAGTTCAGGGGCAGCCACCACTTCCAGTTCAGGAGTAGACACCACGTCTAGTTCAGGAGCAGCCACTACTTCCAGTTCAGGGGCAGCCACCACTTCCAGTTCAGGAGCAGCCACCACTTCTAGTTCAGGAGTAGCCACCACTTCTAGTTCAGGAGCCGCCACCACTTCCAGTTCAGGAGTAGCCACCACTTCTAGTTCAGGAGTAGCCACCACTTCTAGTTCAGGAGCAGCCACTACTTCCAGTTCAGGAGAAGCCACCACTTCCAGTTCAGGGGCAGCCACTACTTCTAGTTCAGGATCAGCTACTACTTCCAGTTCAGGAGCAGCCACCACTTCCAGTTCAGGAGTAACCACCACTTCTAGCTCAGGAGTAGCCACTACTCCCAGGTCAGGAGCAGCCACCACTTCCAGTTCAGGGGCAGCCACCACTTCCAGTTCAGGAGCAGCCACCACTTCTAGTTCAGGGGTAGCCACCACTTCTAGTTCAGGAGCCGCCACCACTTCCAGTTCAGGGGCAGCCACCACTTCTAGTTCAGGAGTAGCCACCACTTCTAGTTCAGGAGCAGCCACCACTTCTAGTTCAGGAGTAGCCACTACTCCCAGGTCAGGAGCAGCCACCACTTCTAGTTCAGGAGTAGCCACCACTTCTAGTTCAGGAGTAGCCACTACTCCCAGGTCAGGAGCAGCCACCACTTCTAGTTCAGGAGCAGCCACCACTTCTAGTTCAGGAGAAGCCACCACTTCTAGTTCAGGAGTAGCCACCACTTCTAGTTCAGGAGCAGCCACCACTGCTAGTTCAGGAGCAGCCACCACTTCTAGTTCAGGAGCAGCCACTACTTCCAGTTCAGGAGTAGCCACCACTTCTAGTTCAGGAGTAGCCACCACTTCTAGTTCAGGAGCAGCCACTACTTCCAGTTCAGGAGAAGCCACAACTTCCAGTTCAGGGGCAGCCACCACTTCTAGTTCAGGAGCAGCTACTACTTCCAGTTCAGGGGCAGCCACCACTTCTAGTTCAGGAGGGGAGACAACATCGAGTTCAGGAGCAGCCACCACTTCCAGTTCAGGAGTAGCCACCACTTCTAGTTCAGGAGCAGCCACTACTTCTAGTTCAGGGACAGTCACCACTTCTAGTTCAGGAGGGGAGACAACATCGAGTTCAGGAGGCGACAAGACTTCCAGCTCAGGAGCGGACACTACTTCCAGCTCCGGAGTGAACACTACTTCTAGTTTCACTGCTACACTGGTCTCGATCTTTGTTGCGATAAAAGCGTTTTAATATAATTTGTTCGTGTGTGTATGAGTGTGTGTGTGTGTGAGAGAGAGAGATAGATAGATAGAGAGAGAGAGAGAGTGTGTGTGTGTGTGTGTGTGTGTGTGTGTGTGTGTGTTCAGTTTTAAGTGATATCTATCTTATCATGCTCACGTGATATTAATAAAGTGGACCTAGTAGTTTTATCTGGCAGTCTCACATTCTGAATTATTGTTTTATTCACCTGTAAGCCCTTAAGGGGATGTACGTATACCTTATAAAAGTGTGTGAATTAAAGGGGTTTCGTTATATGTCGTTGAGCGAATGGAACGCGTTATTTTCAGGTTTGTTCATATCAATTAGATCCGTATTTTCAATACTGAAAGTGTTGGCCGGACTGATTAGTACCAGTAAGTGGACGCCCGGGTAACGCAATGTAATAACTGTAACTGGCATGGTATCTTGCCCGCAGGGCCTGTAATTCTCTTGAGGCGTTACTTCCGGTACGAAGCTGGTTCCCGGCTCCCTTTGCACGCGCAAACTTGCGATATGCGAGACAGGGCTCAGCTTACAACCGACACCAGATTTCCGGTGACAAGTGTATATTCAAGAACCAGTTCTGGTTCCAAATTGCGCGACCGCCAAATATGACTGTACTTGACCGGGCCAAGTGTACAACCATTCTTGGCTGTCACAATAGTCGTAATAATTGGCTAATTTGGGGATGGATAGATCGGAAACTTGTTATTCCTGCAAAGACTATCGGTTTCCTACTGTCAACTGACAACGATGAGACCATTCTAAACGGTATGAAACGTTGTTTATCATCGGAAGTACAGTGACACCTGCCAACACGGCACAACCCGGCACACTGTCAAAACCGGCATAAAATTTTGGTCCCGCCATTTTGCAACGACATTATGATCATTAAAACATTGTATAATCCGGCACCTGTGTATTCCGTACTGCGGCAATTTTAACTGTAAATAACACTGTCTAAACCGGCATGGGTATGAGCAGTCCAATCAAGGATCCATAATCCAACACATTAAATAATCCTCTTGGCACAGTAGATAATCAGGAAGTGGTGATTACGCAGTGAATCAACGCTCGTACGATTACCATGGTTATGCTTTATAAACACTAATTTACCTATCTCTGGTCTCATTCTGCAAGAAAACGCTCTTCAATTATAGAGATAAAGAGATTGAGGAGTGTAGAAGGCAGCCATGTTGGAAAATGATCGTCACTGTCGGTCCCGTGGGGTGCCGGTTTAGACAGGTTTCATTGTATTAAGGTCTAGCGAAGTGCCCTATTGGCAAATGTGTGTATTTGTCTCACACATGGTACGGGTTCAGTCTACACAAATGCTACATGGAGGTTTCATTTTACGACCAACTTGAAATTCACATCCATTTTCATCTTAACTTTTCCAGACACCCCAGACCAGGTTCCAATACGGTTATGTATGAGTTTGTGAATTTTGTTTAACACCGCCTTGAGCAGTATTTTACTTCTCCCACGACCAGGCACGTTGATATAGAGTAAAACCCAATAAAACCTTGTAGGTCCTTGGTTTGTTAATTCGTAAACATAAACGACGGAAATCCATTAAAAAATCTTTAATCAAACTCACTTTCCGAACGAGTGAGTAATACGTGTGCTTGAAACACCGCTTTGAATATCATTGCTGCTGTGTCATGTCGTGTAAGAGTGAGTTTAGTTTTACGCCGCTTTTAGCAATATTCCAGCAATACCACGGTGGGGGACACCGTGAATGGGATTCACACATTGTACCCATGTGGGCATTCGAACCATGGTTATCAGCGTGACGAGTGAACGCGTTATCCATTAGGCTACCCCACTGCCTCAAGAGCACCCGTATATTGCTAACTAAACTCAAACAAAATCAAGGTGAATAAAGATGGGAACAACGATCAAAGCTTACTGTAATACTTAAGGGGCGTTACCTTGAACGTCCAAACACCTTTGGTATCTAAGCGTCTTTGAAAATAGCTGTGTTTTGGAAGACAGTCGGAGTAATCTATTTTCCTATTTTTTCCGTTCTATTCCTTTTTTCTCTTTGTTGTTAAAAACCTGTAACATTTAGAGGACCGTGCTCAGGTTACAAAAACACACACAGACATCCACTAATGCATGACTAAATAGTGTTTGTAGTTCTCAATTATTATTATGTTAGAAAAAAACATTCTGCTGACTGATCCTTTGCAAGAAAATTACTAATTAAATACATTAATAATTTAAGGAATTCATAAACACTTGGCTGCTTCGTTCCCTGACGGCTTGTGCTAAGGTATCCCTTTTTTATCAAACTTGGGTTGATTACTATTTTTAAATGTTATTTTTCTCTCGAGTATATATCTATATGAAGCTTCTTTTTTTTAAAAAATAGTAGACTGTGATTTTACATTAGGAATTTGCACATATAAAGAAAAAACTTTGCAATGAGCAATAGAAAGACTAATATCGTTTCAGTAACCACATTTTCCTAAAGCGTAATTTCTTAATAGCTGGTTCCTCATTCAACATTCCACGAAAGAAAGGGGTTTCCCGTTGGACGCGAAGGTTTGTGTCTTTCTTGACATTGTCCCCCTTCCTATTGAGGTTCTCGTGGTGTAGTGGTTAGAGGTCGTAGGTTCGATCCCCGGCCTCGTCATACCAAAATACGTTAAAATATGGTACTTGTTGGTCCCTGGCTAGAGCTCGGCATTTATTGGTACAACAAGGACTGGTCGGTTCGGAGTTAGTATAATGGGTCTGAGTGGGGTATTCATGCTTAACTGCGGCATGTTATCTCAGTGAGCAAGCACTATAAAAGCAGCTAAAGTCTGGGGTAGTACAAGCAGACATGCATACATACGCTGGTACGTCGTCATATGAGCGAAGTATTCTTAAGCACGACGTTAAACCCAATTTCACCTCACCTCACCTCCTACAAGGTTCCAAAATATCCCATGAATGTGATATTTGGTTTGATAGCATCACTGTGGAGCCGGAGAAGCGGCGTTGCAGTCTCTTCCACTCACTCACTGACTGAAAGGTTCTACAAAGCGATATCGATCCATGTATTGATCATTTAGTAGCAATTGTCAGTTAGATTCGTTGCAAATACCACAACCATTCAAGCGAGGTCACATGGTAATGAATGGTATCTATGACCTGATATATGCCATTAGTACCAAAGGCCTTTGGACCACTGTATATGAAAATCTAATTATGGAGTATGTGTAGAAATTATGAAGAATATGTTCAAATTATATTGGCTAGCAACCTGTCTGATGCTGAAACGAACGATAATAGCAAAATTTATTTTAAAAAATACAGTTGGGTAGTTAACCATTTCAAATTTAATACCATTTGCAATGGTGTAACTAAATACATAGAGAGCTACAGATCAAGCACGAAAAGTATATAAATGAATTATTATCAATAACACAGCATCGATTAAAGGGTGGTGTGCAACATTGAAACATTCATATGTTTATTGCCAAGCATGTATTAACTGCTAGTCAATAATGTTTATTGCTTAGAAATGTTTACGAATTTCAAGTACGTGTGATCTCAGCCCATACAATAACAGGTACACTGTCAGCATATGCAAACTTACAGAAGCGGGCCTACGTCAGAGCGTGCTATACCTGAGTTGGTCCAATATATCCACCAGTTGTAGGTAATCTAGAGGATATACATACCAAGATTTGCCATAAATATAACGACTCGTTTGGTCAGGTGTAAAGGTGGTGGATGGACTAACAATTTCATGACAGACAACACAAGAGGGCCGTACTTCATTCTTGTTTTCGGATCAGTAATTCTGGACGGCTGAAGGCAGTTTGATATTTGCGATGGTCCGACATTTATTGTTCATTGGATGGCTTCTGCTGATGTCTCCACGCGTGGTCCATGGTAAGTTAACGTACTCAGTACTTATCGTAGCGTTCAATCTGATCATGTGATTTCTATCTCCATGTAATGATATTACCCGGTGTTGTCTGCTAAATCTTTTACTCAACATGGGACGCATTGCACAAGCCTTAAGTCGCATGGTCCAAATGTTGGTTGGTTGGTTGTTAATCTAGCTATATGGTGGCGGTCTGTAAATAATCGAGTCTGGACAAGAAAATCGAGTGGTCAACAGCATGAGCATCGATCTACGCATTGGGGATACGCTGACATGTGTTAACCAAGTCAGCGAGCCTGACCATCCGATCCTGTCAGTCGTCTCTTACGACAAGCATGGGTTACTGAAGACTAATTTTCTAAGCCGGATCTTCACGTGTATATGTTCCGAAGGATATCGATATATTCAACATGAAAACAAAGTTATTTCATTCTCAATAAAAACAATGAAGAAATATAGCTCAGTAATTAAACTAAGTCTAAATAATAAAAAAAAAAAAAATAATTTTTACCAACCATGGCTGTGATGGTCGGTAAACTTGAATAGCTGTTTTCAACAATTATCACGCACATATTTGCTCTATTTGAATTGCTTTGAACAAAGATAGCAGACATGTTTGCCACATTTTATTCGCTTTGAACAGCCATGACATTACTCCGTATTGTGAACACAAAGAAACAATGACAAAAAATCGCCGTATATTTGAATGAGTGAGTGAGTTTAGTTTTACGCCACACTCAGCAATATTCCATCTATATGGCGGCGGTCTGTAAATAATCTGGACAAGACAATCCGGTGATCAACGGCAAGGTCATCGATCTACGCAATTGGGATTTGATGACGTGTCAACCAAGTCATCGAGCCTGACCACCCGATCCCGTTAGTCTCCTCTTAGGACAAGCATGGGCAACTGAAGATCAATATTCTAACCCGGATCTTCACGGGTACCGTATATTTGAACAAGCATGACAAACATCTTCAGTATATTTGAACAACCATGACACCAATCCTCAGTATATTTGAACAATCCTGAGAATAATCTTCCGATCACTTGAACAACCATGACACCAATCCTTCATATTTGAACACTCGTGACAATAATCTTCCGTACAGTAAATCAACCATGACACAAATCCTCATTATATTTGAACAACATTGACAATAATCTTCCGTACATTTGAACAACCATGACACCAATCCTTCGTATATTTGAACACTCGTGACAATAATCTTCCGTACAGTAAATCAACCATGACACAAATCCTCATTATATGTTAACAGCATTGACATTAATCTTGTGTACATTGAATAATACTAATATGTGTATTTATACCGCGCTGGATTCCATACAAAAATGTATGCTCAAAGCGCTACATATAAAGGTGATTGGCATAAAACATTTGTACATAAAATAGTTGAATCTTTTGAGGATATGTTTGTTAGTCAGTGTAGTATTTTCTAAAGAGAAGTGTTTTTAAGGCACATTTGAAGGAATCAAGGGATGTTTGTCTGAGTTCGAGTGGCAGCTGGTTCCATAGTGTTGGAGCTCCATAACTAAAAGAGCTGAAACCAAAGGCTTTTTTAGTTTACGTCTTGGGATGACCAATATATGTTGATAAGCTGATCGTAAGGCTCTCGATGGAACATGTTTGGTCACCAACTCAATGAGGTAGTCGGGAGCAGTTTCATGATAGCACTGGTGGGCTAGACTCAGGATTTTATACTCCACTCTGGCACTTATGGGCAGCCAGCGTAAGGCTCGTAAAACTGGGGAGATTTGACATTTGAACAACCATGACACCAAGTCACCAATCCTCAGTATATTTGACAATAATCCTCCTCAGTACATTTGAACAACCATGAAACCAATCGTATATTTAAAAACTCGCGACAAATATCTTCTGTATATGTCAACAACTAAGACAAAAGTCCTGCGTACATTTGAACACTCATGGCAAGAATCTTCAGTATATTTTAACCATCATTACATTAATGTGGTTACACTTTTGTAAAGAAACATGTTTTATCTGACATTGTGTTGCCTTCATTATAATGTATTATCACGTCTAATAGTTAATCTGCTGATCGATATATAATGTATTATTTACAAATAATATCTGTTTACCATTCCCAATGAACCATACAGACACGGAAATTACTTTTTGTGATATCGTACGCTCTTTCGACCCCACATGACATGCACTATGTCTATATACAATGGATGTATACCGATTGTTTAGATCGATGCTAATGCTGTTGATAACTGGATTGTCTGGTCCAGACTAGAGTATTTACAGACCGTGGCAATATTGCTGAGTGTGGGATTACATAATAAACAAACAAAACATACAATGATCACATATTTCTCATCGTTTGCTTGTTTTCTCCTCAACAGGACAAGCCTGTCCGGCGGGTACCGAAGGTATGTATTGTTCTGGATTTCCCCAGAAGTGATTGATGGAGGCATTAGTTCCTCGCTATCATAATCTTCTCACAGTGCATCGAGTCGGGTTTAATGCAGCTTTGAATGGCATAACATCTCGCGGTGTATCTTGATCGACTCAAAAGAAAGGGTTAGCGTAAACATGTGCAACATAAACGATATCAGCATCACATTTCAAGTTAAGCTGCATCCAACATATATTATATGCATAATTTTCACAGTGAGATGGCTGCAATATAATCGGTGTCTGGAAGTAATAGCTCATACTCTTTTTCGGCCAGAACGTTGGCGATGACGTTAGCATCACATTTCAGGTTAAGCTGAATACAGTATACATTATATGCATAAATGTCACAGTGAAATGGCTGCAATATTATCGGTGTCTGGGAGTAATACCTCATACTCTTTTCGGTCAGAACATTGGCGATGATGTAACATGATCATATTTTGTTTCAGTGCTACACGTTTGCCAAGCTGGATCCAAACAAGGCCCATCAATACATGTGGATGGGTCCACGGCCAGGGACTTCCATGGACAATGCGTGTGTGAGGTGCATGCCGTTGGTGGGCCGGTTGTTGTCAAGATGTCAGCTCCGGTGGTCCCATCTGCCGAGTGCGGCTCTCTGATATATTCTACAGAGATTGGCTTTACTGCTCATTGTGGTAATACGGTGCAAACTGTGTCTGGCAGTATTGGGACTGAACAAAACGCTTACCTCACTATTGCAACGGAAACGGATAGCGCAAATCCTGATTATTGTGTGAAAGTGGAGAAAGAATCTGGAGGTAAGTTGCAAAAGTTATTTGGTGATATATCATTAATATAACTGTTTACAGTACTGTGCTGATTGGTTGTCGCTATTTGACTACATTCTGGTTCTAATTTACAGAGGGACAAGTTAAAGTCGTCTGTACGGAGATCCAGCAAGCGGACCGGGCAAACAAAGCAACTACACCTCCCACTACTACTAGTTCAGGAAGTGACACCACTTCTAGCACCGGAGTGGACACTACTTCCAGCTCCGGAGTGGACACTACTTCCAGCTCCGGAGTGGACACTACTTCCAGCTCAGGAGCAGCCACCACTACTAGTTCAGGAGCAGCCACCACTACTAGTTCAGGAGCAGCCACCACTACTAGTTCAGGAGCAGCCACCACTACTAGTTCAGGAGCAGCCACCACTACTAGTTCAGAAGCAGCCATCACTACTAGTTCAGGAGCAGCCACCACTTCTAGTTCAGGAGCAGCCACCACTTCTAGTTCAGGAGAATCCACCACTTCCAGTTCAGGAGCAGCCACCACTTCTAGTTCAGGAGGGGAGACAACATCGAGTTCAGGAGACAACACGACTTCTAGTTCAGGAGGCGACACAACATCAAGTTCAGGAGGGGAGACAACATCGAGTTCAGGAGACAACACGACTTCTAATTCAGGAGGAGGCACAACCTCTAGCTCTGGAGAGACCACTTCTAGCTCAGCAGGTGCCACAAATTCTAGTTCAGGGGGAGAGACCACTTCAAGCACAGGAGGGAACACGACTTCTAGTTCAACAAACGTCACAACGTCTAGTTCAGGAGGAAACACCACTTCTGTTCCAGCTGTGAACACTACTTCTGTTCCAGCAGTGAACGGCACAACTGGTTCAGGAGGAAGTGGAAATGGAACCTCATCTAATTCAACAATGAGCGGAAACTGTTCAGATGCCAGCGGATCAAAAGCAAATTGTACGGGAAATACGAGTGAACTGACAAGTCCTGGAAGCTCAAATAGTTTGGGTAAATATTATATAAATGAATTCTTGAATTAGCAAATATATTTTACAGTTATAGAGAATCATGTCAACAAATTGCAAATTTCATAATGTTAATAATAATAGGATATACCCTGTGATCCATATTCCAGAAAGCCCAATCGTTCTTGGAACATTAGGAGGAATCATAGCTCTCCTGGTGATCCTTGGCGCCATTGTTTACTTGAGGTAAGTCGTGACAAAATAATTTCATGTTCAAACAAAATCAAAAACGTTAGTATTTGTATTCGATCGCTAATATAATATGAGAACATTCCGAGTCAAATTAGCTTTAAATACCTTCGACAGTTTGCCTTGACATAACCGAGTACTGTCCAAGGCAACCACCTTTAACATCCGTGTGTAATGAATGCAATGTTCCACTGAGTTTGAGAAGACCATATGATTATTTAGGACGATGATAATCGTAACTAACAGTTAAACGCCGTTCAAAATGCCTGTTTTTTCTGGTGTTCCATTTATGTTAAGATATGTGGTCGTGGTTTCAATGTGACATAACCGCAACGATCGTTGACCGTTCAGTAATAGAATTGTATATTCAGCTTAAAGTATGATAATTTCAATTTTAACATAGCTGACATATATAACATTTCTTTTAGAATTTGATTGTAGGTATTTAGAAAAAGGGGGCATTCCGCACTTGAATATTTAAATATTGCATGCATTAAATTTATTTTATTCATTTTGTACAGCATGTGAAACAATTATGTTTATAACTCAGACTTTTGATCTTTTCCAGGGATAGAGCTCGTGCGAGGAAAATAGCAGAGACAGCGAGGCAAAACCGTATCAGGCACAGCTACGAACGAATGTAGTCATCGGAGTTGGTTTGCTTAATCTTAAAGTGCCATTGTTTCTTAAATATGACATAATTAAAGACAGATGTGTTATTTACATTTTATATAACTCAGCGGTGCTATTGGGTTTGCTATGATATATGTTTTTTTGTAACAAGTATATCGTTATGTGTTCTGCCAAGCACATTTCTCAGATATTGTGACATATACAACTATAAATAAAACGATGTAATAATACATAACTGTAATTACCACTTTAAAGCACTTCTTGCACAAATGAATATGATACTATTATTGCCATTGGGATTTGTTCAGTTCAGCAATTCATGCATGTTTAGTATGATTAATTGTTTCCTTGGACCAGTTTACAAGACGTAGTACTTAATTATACACACAGAGACACAGGTAGCCCCGTCGACTAAGGTGACCTAATTCAATGTGAGGAAATGCGTCAGTTTTCCAGACCAGAACCATGATGGGTTCGAATCACTACTTGCTCCGGCTGTGCTTCTTGCTCTTTTTCAACGCCATATTCGTACTTACGGGCTTCAACAAAGTGCTAAACCTGCATCACTTCTTGCTTTAAACGTACATTAAGCTGACATGCTGTGATATAAATGGAATATTGTTAACTCGCATAGTGAGCCAAATGATAATTGAATTTTCATGTTTGGCACAAACTGGAAAGACCAAGTCAGGAGAAGAAGTTTTGAAATAATCACGGCATTATGCTAAATCTTGTTGTGCCAGTCCCAGCATTAATTAGTAAATGACTGGAACCTTTCAATGGTTGTGTTGCTAAATGTTGTAATCGATACGTGCAAATAAATCTGTCTTCTAATATATTTCTTATTTGTCTGTTAATGGCTGTAGGTATTCATTGGGGAATTTGTATCAATTATGTACAGATGATCACTAGTGTGTGGAACATGGGATACTATGACACTGTTGTGGCACACTGAAGTGGCGTTGATACGAGACAAATTGCGTCACGCTGTTTAGGTGGATGGGCGAGGCAGTTACGTGAATTAATTCCGGAAACGGCCGAGTTACATCATTGTTGTGGGAGATGTATAAGGCCTTCATGTGAGTTATGGTCAAGGTGTGTCAGACACTGTCGTGGCAGATGTATAAGGCCTTCATGTGAGTTATCGTCAAGGTGTGGCAGACACTGTCGTGGCAGATGTATAAGGCCCTCATGTGAGTTATGGTCAAGGGGTGGCAGACACTGTCGTGGCAGATGTATAAGGCCTTGATGTGAGTTATCGGCAAGGTGTGTCAGACACTGTCGTGGCAGATGTATAAGGCCTTCATATGAGTTATCGTCAAGGTGTGGCAGACACTGTCGTGGCAGATGTATAAGGCCTTGATGTGAGTTATGGTCAAGGGGTGGCAGACACTGTCGTGGCAGATGTATAAGGCCTTCATGTGAGTTATCGTCAAGGAGTGGCAGACACTGTCGTGGCAGATGTATAAGGCCTTCATGTGAGTTATCGTCAAGGTGTGGCAGACACTGTCGTGGCAGATGTATAAGGCCTTCATGTGAGTTATCGTCAAGGTGTGGCAGACACTGTCGTGGCAGATGTATAAGGCCTTCATGTGAGTTATCGTCAAGGTGTGGCAGACACTGTCGTGGCAGATGTATAAGGCCTTCATGTGAGTTATCGTCAAGGTGTGGCAGACACTGACGTGGCAGGTGTACAAGGCTATAATGTGAGTTATGGTTAATATGAGTCAGTGAATGAGTGAGTTAATATTTAACGTCACATCGGCAATATCGCAGCCATATCGTAATATGTGTCAGACACTGTTGTGGACGATGTACGAGGTCTTGATGCGAGTCATGGGCAAGGTGTGTCAGACACTGTCGTGGCAGATGTATAAGGCCTTCATGTGAGTTATCGTCAAGGTGTGGCAGACACTGTCGTGGCAGATGTATAAGGCCCTCATGTGAGTTATGGTCAAGGGGTGGCAGACACTGTCGTGGCAGATGTATAAGGCCTTGATGTGAGTTATCGGCAAGGTGTGTCAGACACTGTCGTGGCAGATGTATAAGGCCTTCATATGAGTTATCGTCAAGGTGTGGCAGACACTGTCGTGGCAGATGTATAAGGCCTTGATGTGAGTTATGGTCAAGGGGTGGCAGACACTGTCGTGGCAGATGTATAAGGCCTTCATGTGAGTTATCGTCAAGGAGTGGCAGACACTGTCGTGGCAGATGTATAAGGCCTTCATGTGAGTTATCGTCAAGGTGTGGCAGACACTGTCGTGGCAGATGTATAAGGCCTTCATGTGAGTTATCGTCAAGGTGTGGGACAGACACTGTCGTGGCAGATGTATAAGGCCTTCATGTGAGTTATCGTCAAGGTGTGGCAGACACTGTCGTGGCAGATGTATAAGGCCTTCATGTGAGTTATCGTCAAGGTGTGGCAGACACTGACGTGGCAGGTGTACAAGGCTATAATGTGAGTTATGGTTAATATGAGTCAGTGAATGAGTGAGTTAATATTTAACGTCACATCGGCAATATCGCAGCCATATCGTAATATGTGTCAGACACTGTTGTGGACGATGTACGAGGTCTTGATGCGAGTCATGGGCAAGGTGTGTCAAACTCTGTTGTGGGAGATCTACAAGGCCTTGGTGTGAGTTGTGGTCAAGGTGTGTCAGACACTGTCGCGGGAGATGTACGACACCTAATAGAGAGTCATGGTCGAGGGGTGTGTCTGGCACTAGTGTGGCAGATGTACGACACCCCATAGAGAGTCATGGTCAGGGTGTGTCTGACACTAGTGTGGCAGATGTACGACACTTCATAGAGAGTCATGGTCAGGGTGTGTCAGACACTTGTGACAGATGTACGACACCTTGAAGTTAGTCATTGTCAAGGTGTGTCAGACACTGTTGTGGCAGATGTACGAGGCATTGATGTGAGTCCTGGTCAAGATATGTGTCAAGATGTCGGTAGACACTTTTTTGGCAGACAGAAGAGGCAGTTGTGCGAGCCAAGCAAGAGATGTGCCAGGGAATACTGTGGGAGCTAGAGGATACACTGATATGCCCAGACCTCTTATGGGTTATGGAGAAGGCGCTCACGGGAGACTCATGGGGTTTTGTCGAAGTCGAAATGTGCCAGTTATCACTTTTTAAAGCACTATATCACACAATACTTCTCTTAAAAAATAATGCATTTCTCTCAATAATATTATCAGCCCTCGGGGAAGCTACCATACAATTTATGACCTGCTAAATACGTATTTAGATTACAATATGAAACTAAAAAGTTCGAATGAATTCATGCAACCTTGCATTGGATCGACTTTCGCGCCCTCTACCGGCCGGACATTATTTCAAGCGAACCCGACAAAGTGATGTCCCTTGGAGCCTCCAATATCCTTCGCATAACGTTTGATTGAAACAAGTTCGGCAAACACTGTCAACAGCGCGTGCGACAGTTTTCGATGTACGGAGCAATTGTTTACATTCTATACTCCCCATCAAAAGTTTAGACTCACTAGTGTAAATGAAGCCACTTACTGAAGTCAACTCTTCTAAACTAGATTTTGCAATATTCTCCATACTGTTTAAAGGTAACGTTGAAAAGATTATTGTCATCGGTTAAAAAAATGACGAAACTGAGTGAAACTTGGAGAATTTTAACAAAATGTTACACCACAACATAGCTGTTCACATTCACAATATTTGCACATGCTTTTTTAGCAATTTAATGCATGATCCTCGTGCAATTCATCTGCATAAAGTTTGCAGTTGGTTCCCCAAAGTGAGTGGAGAAATTTATCTTCGATGTAACCACACATATATGCATAACATATAGTGAGTGTTTTAAGTGAGTCTAAACTTTTGATGGGTAGTATATATATATATGGCAAGGGTTCTCTTTTTGGAAGCTGTTCTCCTCGAAGTTTCAAATACTGATTCAGGCAAAGCGTAAGAGATGAATCTTCTATTGCATCTATAGGAAGTTAAAGTGAGTGCATAAGCCCCAAAATATATAATATAGGCCAAAATATTGTCGAAAACGTGTGACATTGTGCCTTTAACATAGGTTTGAAATGTAAAGTTACATTCTCAGATTTGACTGATTGAAAGTGAGTTTATTTGTGTTATTGTTCTCGACAAAAAAGTTGATTTATGTTAAATATCAACGTTTACCCCCCAATTTCATAGATGACACACACGACGTTCCATTTCTTCAACACGTCGTCCATGGACAAATACATTGTCAGTCTTACAAAGTATACAAAATAACACCAAAAATAATACAATGAAAGATTACATAAGAAAACTATATTAAATTTCGGACTCCGATAATGAAAAAGTGAAGCAGCTTTAAAACACATTCAGCATCATGAATACGTCATTGAAGAATATTCGGGAGTGAAATAGTTTCAGTGGCATTGCTCTACTTAAGCTATTCATATTCATGAACAGATCAAAGATCATGGAATAATGTCACAGCTGCCCCAAGGATAAGTAATCGACTGGAAACAATCCACCGTATATACATGTTCAGCTGTCCGACCCGAGTGTACTCTCAGCTATAGCATGGTTGATTTACTCTGAGATGCCCTGGCATCACAGTCCTTTGTCACGGAACTGAGCGCCTGAGACCAAGCTGCCATTAAACAAAAATAAACTAATAACTGAAAACGTGGTAAAAGTGCACATTTTTATTGCTATCAACTATTTGAACCAATGGACGACAAATTCATATGAGATCAACAACCCAGTTTACCCTGACAATGATCAATAATTAATTACACCAGAGTAGTAAATATTCACGCTGATCAGGAAGCAACTGACTGTGTAGCCTTAAAAATAGGGTAACAAAACACTTATGGTCTATTCCGAAGATTTGCCTCCTGGAAAATAAAAGTGACAAAAAACGCTTATATAGCAAACTTGTGTTGTCTACTAAAGACTCGGCCTTTGACTAGACAGGGAAATTCTCAACTACCGAACAATACAAGGTATTCATACCCGCACACATTAAGAAAGGTACTGGACCAACAAAGGAACTCGACTCCCAAAAGTTGGTTGGTTGGTTTCTTGTTTAACAAGTGCGGTGTAAAACTAAACTCTCTCACTCACTCAAATTATGCATACAAAGACACTGGGCATCGACGCCCGCCTGACTGAAGCAAGATTGACAATTAAGGGAGGGGGAAATGCCACACACCGTTCTGTCGAACCCGAAGTGACCTTAATAAATGGTTCGAGCTATTCGATGTTCGTCAGACGCGAACTTGCATCGGATTGTTAACCCGTCTGGAGATGTCATGCGTCAGACGTGGAATCACGGCATGCTTGTAGAAAAGCTGATTTTTGTGAGAGAAAGTTGTTTTAAGCAACATAATGAGGATAATGTGGATCATACGCAGGAGTGAGAGTGAGTGAGTGAGTGAGTTTACCTTTACGCCGCACTCAGCAATATTCCAGCTATATGGCGGGGGTCTGTAAATAATCGAGTCTGGACAAGACAATCCAGTGTTCAACAGCATGAGCATCCATCTACGCAATTGGGATATGATGACGTGTCAACCAAGTCAGCGAGCCTGACCACCCGATCATAACAGAGTTTCACTGGTGTAGGGGTCCAACCCATGTCTCCTTCCTCCTTCTCCTTCCTTGGGTGTAAATTTCCGCACACCCTTAAATAATTTAATAGCTCTGTTCTGAAGAGTCGTCACGTACGTAGAATTTGAGCTCCCCTAAATCGTTGCTCCTTTGTCAACAGTAGACCAGACCATAGTGTCAAAGAGTTTCTTGTACGTGCTTTAGTGCATACCGCCCAAGGACTTGAATTTTTATATTAATAAACC